ATATGGGAATAATATAACTAATCATTCTTGATGTTAAACTATTTTAAAGCAATGAATTCTTCACCTTAGTAGAAAACTAAAATAATATTTTAGAAATTGATTCATAAGGAGAAAAGAGCAATGTACTTTTATTGACAAGTAAAGTCCCTATTAATAAAATACTGCGAGGAAATGTTGAGTCAATTAGCATTATTATTTGTTTACAGTAAATTATTAGGCAACAGACAATGGTATGTGACATGTTTTTCAGGCTAATTCTGCATTTTACATTTATATGTATCTTTAAACAATTCTAAAATATCTCAGTCAATAATTTTTTTTTCCCAGAATTGGAAGCTTGAGTAAGCACTACAGTTACAAAAATTAAAATAAGGAAACAGCATTTACTAAATCAACATGTATTGTAAACTTAGCAGCCTATGATTTAGCAATATTTTATCCCAACAACTAATTATGTAGGAGGTGTTAAATTCAAAGTCTTTTGAACTTGGAACAGTACACAAAATAAATATGCCTTTTTAAAAATTAGATACAAAATAGTATTTGTCAAAAGTAATTTTATTCTCCAACTGTTTTGAGACAGTGTTGAAAGTCAGAGAAAATATGGTAATTCAAATTAGAAAGCCAGAATATAAACTAAGTCTGTTTATGAAAAAAAATCTAATAAGCAAAATAAATAACATGACCCTAACCGATTTGACTCAGTGGATAGAGCATCGGCCTGTGGACTAAAGGACCCCAGGTTCGATTCCGGTCAAGGCAATGTACCTTGGTTGCGGAATGTACAGCTGATTGATGTTTCTCTCTCATTGATGTTTCTAACTCTCTATCCCTCTCCCTTCTTCTCTGTAAAAACAAAAATCAATAATATATATGTAAGTAATATGATTTTTCCTTATAATTTTGTTTCATAACTCTTTTAGAAACTCTAAACTCATAAAAAGAGAATAAAAACAAGTTTCACTCCATAAGCCATATATATTCTAGATTCCTTCAAAATAGAGTAGTAATTATGTCTGACCCTCTGAAATACTTCATCAATTGTATGTGAATTAGGTGTCTCATGGAAATCCAGAACACCAAAAATTATGCTTTGAAGCAACTGACATAACGGGAGAGAATCTAGAGGCAAAGGATATGTGGTCAAGCCCAGATTTTACCCCTTACTAATTGTGTATTGTACTAAACCATTTAACAGTAACTAAGCCTTGGCTCTCTCAACTGAGAACATGAGGATAATATTACCTGCCTTTTTCAAGACTGCTGAGAAGATAAATCTAGGTAAGATGTGAAAGCATTTGTAAACTGTAAAGAACAAACTATAAAGTATAGTACACATGCTACTAAATATATATTACTTACTACTGCATGCTTCCTAACCTTCTTAAACAGAATATGCCGAGTGTAATTTAACCCATAGCCATAATCTGACAAATAGAACACATGATTCTTGAAAAAATACTTGATCCACCCAAAAGATGGTAAGGAAGGCCAAAGGGAGGGAGGTACAAAGAGCAAATAAGACAAATCTAAAAATTAAAAGATTACATTGCCAAACCTATATAATAAAAGCCTAATATGCTAAGTGTCTGACCATTCGACTGTTCGACCAGTCGCTATGACGCACACTGAGGTCTGGCCATGCACTCCTGGGGTCTGGCCAATCAGGACAGGGTGAGATAGGCCAGACAAGCCCTAAAACTCTCTTGCGGTCTCTCCCTAGTCACCAACCTCTCGTGGACCTTGCTGGCCAGCCAGCTGGCCCTGATCAGCCCCAACTGGGACTGGACAAGACGAGCCGGACACATGCTGGAGCCCTGCCACATTCCCTCCCAGGCCCCAAATGTGCAACGGTGGGGTCCCTTTGCTTGGGCTGTGCCCTCTACAATCCAGGACCCCTTGGGGGATGTCGGAGAGTTAGTTTCGGCCCAATCCCCAGAGGCCAGGCAGAGGGACCCCACTGGTGCACAATCCATGCAATGGGCCTCTAGTAATTACAGAAAATGTAAATGAACTAGGGGCTGGGGGAGATGAGATGTTGGTCAAAAAATATAAACTTTCAATTATAAGATGAATTTGGAGTGTATAGTATAGTGACTACAGTTATCAATATTGCATTGTATACCTAAAAGCTGCTAAGAGAGTAAATCTTAAAGGTTCTACACACACACACACAATGGTAACTATGTGAGATGACAAACCTTAGTGTGCTTATCATTTCACAAAATATATATGTATCAATCATCACATTGTACATCTTAAACTTCCACAATGATATATGCCAGTTATATCTCATTAAAGCTAGTGAGGGTGGGGAGGAATGTAAATGGAATAAACACCACCAATAAAAAGGGTGAGATTGACAGATGGGAGTTTTTTAACCCTAATTATTCACTATATACAAGAAAACATACTTTAAACATAAAAGAGACAGACTGAAAGGATAGTTAAAAATAAACCATACAAGCACAGTGCATAAAAGCTGGTGTCACTATTTTAATATCTAAGTAGATGCCAAGAAGAGTACTATGAGAAATAGGGGAATTTTATGATGATCAAAGGTTCAAATTCATGCAGATGAAAATTTTAAATATATATGTACCTAGTAAAAATAAACCCAAATACATTAAAAATTTTAATAGAATTGAAGAAAAAATAGTAAAGTCCACAATCACAAATTGATAAGACAAATTTAAAAAATTTATAATATAGAATATTTGAACAATATATCAATATAACCCAGTGGATATTTACAGAACACTATATTCAATAATGGAGTACACAATTTTCAAGTGATTGGAAACATTCACCAAGATAAACCATATACTAAACCATAAAAAAGTTTTAATAAATTTCAACTCTAACAGAATTAAATTAGAAATCAGTAATAGAAAGATCTGAATATTTTCCAACATTTTAAAGTTAAGTAATGTTTTTTCTTAGTAACCCACAGGACAAAGAAAACTATTACAGGAGAAATTTTCAAATATTTTGAACTAAATGATAATGAAAATACACATCAAAATTTGTGCTTCTGGCTTAGAAAAGAAGACAGGTGTACAATCAATAACAATGAAAGTTTCTTCATTAATAAGGTGGAAAAGAGAAGTAGAAGAAAGGATATAATAAAATTAAAAGCAGAAATCAAGTGAAGAAAAATAGACAAACAATACCAAAAAATCAACAAAGTAAAAGTTAGTTCTTGGCAAAGATTAATAAAAGAGATAAACCTCTACCAAGATTGATCAGGAAAAAAAAGAAAAAAGAAAAAAAAAGAATGCCAATGTAAAGAATAAAAGGAAAAACATAACTATATACCTAATAGCAATTCAAGAATAACAAGATAGTATGAACATTATGATAATAAATTTAACTTCATAAACTAATGGACAAATTCTTGATAACTATAACTGCCTAGTAAATTCTATTAAACATTTAAATAAAAAATTAAGGCAATTTCATACAATCTTTCAGAAAAGAAAGAAAATGGAATAATTCCCCAATTACTTTATGGAACCAGCATATCTGTGATATTATATTTAGGCCCGGACATCATAAATCTAGCCATAAAAATCCTCAACAAAATAACAGCAATTAAAATCCTGCAACATATAAAAACTATAATATTTCGTGAATAAGTGAGATTTGTTTATACTAAGAATGCATAAAAGATTTAACATTAAAAAAAAAATCTATGGAACCTAGATTAAAGGAGGAAATTAATATATTCAAACTTCAATAAATATTTTTTTAAATCTATCAAAGTTCAATATTCACTCATGAAAATATAATTGCAAGGCACATACAATGTTAAAAAAGTAATAAGATGAAATCAATTTTGATAATAAATTTCTTTATTTGTGCAAATATAATCATATATATTGTGTTTAAATATGCAAAAGACAATACATCCAAGATATTATCATTTCAATATGTAATCAGCAAAACAATATTAGATTATTTGTGGGGGGGGGGGGTTTGTACTAATCTTTGAAATCCAATTTGTATTTTATATTTATTTCAGCATATCTGGGTTTGAACTAAGCTACATGTTAAGTGCTCAATAGCAATATGTAGCTAGTAGCTGCTGGATGCTAATGCTGATTACATGAACACTTTTAAGCATTTTCCATGATTATTTCATTACTAGTGACCAGTGCATGAATTCGTGCACACTGAAAGGAAATTAATTAGAAGATGGCTGGCTGGACGGGACTGAATGATGGGCTGGACACACCCTGGAGCCAACCTCCCAGGTCTGCCAGCTGCACCTGGGGTGGTGCCATGGCTCGAAAGGCATCTGCACAGTGAGTGGGGGTCTCTCCTGCAGATGCGGTCCCTCGGCCTGGTATTTGGGGGTCAGGCTGAAACCAGCTCTCCAACATCCCCTAAGGGGTCCTGGAGTGTGAGAGGGCATTCTACAATATTGCTGTCATACAGGGTGTGGAACACAAATCCAAATGTGCAGTAAACCAGATTGAGGGCCAACATTGCCCTGGCAACAACATAACCCACAGCAAAAGGTGGAACTGTGCAGCCCAGTGAGGAATCAGACTCCCTCCTCTCTGGTTTTGGGGTGCATCACTCAAGAACCGCCACTGCTAAGTCACTGCAGCTCAGCAGCTCCTGCATTGAGCATCTGCCCCAAAGCAACAGGTCAGACATAGGGAGGGATACTTAGCCTATTAGCCTTTTATATATATGACACCTCACAGGGGCACATACAGGAGAAAGTAACTTGTCCAAGTTCTCATAGTGAGTGGTAGAAACAGAATAACTCAGATTTCCTGCTTCAAATTGCCAATCTATCCCACCTCAAACTAACTTTTTTTTTTTTTTTTACAATATGATTGAAACTTTCAACTCACCATATAAATACCATGATTCCTGCTTGAATATCATATATTCATTTTATGGAAACAAATTTCTGGTCATATAAAAAGAATTGATCTCCTCCTGTTCCTCCCCAATGATTTAAAGTCTGAAACAACCAGACTTACCATCAATATGAGTTTCTGATACTTTTGTTTTAGGTCAGCCATACTTGCAGATGGGTTTGCTCCCAGAATGCTGTACCAATCCTTTTTTGGTACCTGTCCAAATGCCATCATCCACTGAACAAGTGGGCCTTCTCTGATCAGCTGAATAAAAATATTGATGACAATTAATTAAATTCATTACAGTTTGCATGTATGTATGAAATAAGCAAGAACTGCTTTTCTAAGTTCTTTAAAATTTAGATATTTAATTGACTGAATCATTATTATAATACAAACCTAATGAAGCATATACTTTTGTTTAAAACACCCCCCAGAACCCTGACTGAGTGGCTCAGTTTGTTAAAAAGCGCTTTCAAATAAGCCAAGGTAGTAGGTTCGATACCTGGTCAGGGTACATACAAGAATCAACCAATGAATGCCTGAATAAGTGGAACAACAAATTGATGTACCTCTCTGTTTCCTCTCTCTACCCCCTTCCTCTCTCTCTAAAAATAAATTTAAAAATTTTAAATACTCCAAGAATTTCATGTATAACAGTACAGACATGTATGGAAAACTTGTTGGATGTTTCATGCTATACCCTTAAGTCTTAAATTAAGGAATACACAACAGCACTGAATTCGATAGTGAACCCGAGCGATGGATTACACTGTAAGAAGGTATTTCTGCTGGTCTTATGGTAAACGTGGCACACAGTAGGTACTCACTAAATGCACTAAAGGAGCTTACTAAATGTTTACACAACAAATGTTTGTTTTTAAGCAAAGCAAAAAGACCAAAGAATTATGATGAATTTGGGAGCCTTCCCTCTGAAATGTCCCAGTTCACTTCTTTTCTTCCAGAATTTTTTTTAAGACCACGAGAAACAGCCCATCACCCTGGAGGTAGCAAGCAAGAATAATCCCTCTGCTGTTGGGGGAGCCCCCTGAAACTGTACCCCCTGTAGTCTCCAGGCTACGGCGGAGACCCCTCCAGGAGCCCGGAAACCAGGCAGCCTCTGCCCACAGCTGTGGACTTAAGGCGACAGCAAGGCCTCCTCCAAAATGGGTTTTCGGAATTCACTGAATTCCCAGGCGAGTACCCTCCCCATCTCCACTCGAAATCGAACTTACCAAACTTCATAGAGGCATCTGAACAGGAACCTCGCAGCCGGTCGGCAAAACTCGGAACCGGCTTCTCTTTCCGCCGGAAGTTATTGCTCTCACGTGACCACGTTCCCAAGTCGAGGCGTAGTGGCCGCGTAGCTAAGCGGAAGCGTCGCTCCGCCCTCCAGGACGCGGTGGCTATGGTAACCAGTCGCTGCTATGGTACCCAGCGGACGCTTCTAAGGAGTTTTGGAGCAGCAGCAGCAGTAAGTGCTTGAGCTTTAGGGAAAGGAACCTTTCTCCTTCTTTTAAACTCTCTCTTTTCCCTCGCTTCTCTCTCCTGTTCCAGCGAGCCTGCCCCCATGCCTCCGGCTGCCCCCGTCACCCCCAAAGCGTCCTACCCGGCGCTGCTCCCCGTTTTGCGGTTGGTGAATGCATTATGGCGGGGTGGGGGGTTAAGAATGAGAACTGATTCCTCTCAAGTCCCTATACTTCTCTAAGAATGTTCTCATTCGAACATTAAGAGAAGTAAAACATGTGCCGAATAGCTTGTTTTTTCAGTTAAAAAAAATTTTTTTTCTGGAAAAGATGTTAAACCAAGATGTTTCATTTATATTTTAACGTCTGGCTTAAAAGATAAACACACACACACACACACACACACACACACACACTTCCAAGTCCTTTCACATTTAGAAAAATGAAATAAAACCCAAATGTTTGTTGAACTATAGTTTGCAGGATAAATTACGGTAAAAGCGTGGGCAAAAACTCCATTCTTATGTAACTAGCATAAACATAGCAAGGTACATTAAATGTTTGATTTCATGGTGATTGGTTAAATACAATACCTAAAAGTAGCTATAGCTATAAATGTAGCAGGGGTTTAATGCCCTGGGTTGTAGTTTTCGTTAAAAAAAAAAAATCACATTCTTATTTAGTCTGTCATTTTACTACCTGCCTGTCCATAACTAATGTGTTGATGACCACCACACATTAACACAGTTTTAATTTGAGATCATATTAGTAATATTGTGCTTTTAATGGTGGATAACATTTGCAATAGCTACAGCATACTTCTGCAAATTTTTTTCTTATCCTAGGATTATATTTACCTGGCTCTTTTACTGGTTTCTTTGCCAACTATTTTTTTAAATGAAATTTATTGGGGTGGCATTGGTTAAAAGGATTATATAGGTTTCGGGTGTTGATTTCTAAGATGCCAGATTTGTATATTGCACTGTGTATCCATTACCCAAAGTCAAATCATCTTCCAAGGCCATAGATTAGGTCTCCTTCACCCACATGCTCCTTTACCTCCACCCTTTCCCTCTGGCAAATACCACACTGCTGTTTGTGTTCACAAGTTTCAGTTTTATATCCCACATATGAATGAAATTAAATGGTTCTTAGCTTTTTCTATCTGGCTTGTGTCACTTAGCATAATATTCTTAAGGTCCATCTATGTTGCCCCAATGGCAGTGTTTCATTTTCTTCTTATGGTTGAGTAGTTATTCCATTGGGTGTATGTACCACATTTTTATCCAGTCTTCTATCATTGGAAACTTTTATTGTCTCCAAACCTTGGTCACCATGAACAATGTTAATGAACATAGGGGTGCATATATAATTTCAAAGATATGTTTTTCAGTTTTCTGTTATATACCCAGGAGAGGAATTGCTGGGACATATGGTAACTCTATTCTTAAATTTTTTGAGGAATGGCCAGACTATTTTCCATAGTGGCTGTACCAGTCTACATTCCCACCAGCAGTGAATGAGGGTTCCCTTGTCTCCACAACTCCTTCCTCCCTTGTTATTACTTGTCTTGTTGATAACAGTCATTCTAACAGGTGTGAAGTGGTATCTCATTTTAGTTTTAATTTGCATTTCCCTAATTATTAATAAGGTTGAACATCTTTTCACATATCTGTATTACATTTGCATAGTGGAAAGTACTATGCCAAAAGAAATAAGAGGGACTATGACAGTTAATAATTTACATGAATAGAATAAGCAGATTACTTGAATGATTGAAATTCTTGAATCAAAATTAGGCTAATCCAGGAAGATGTATGAAAGTGTTCATTTAAATAATGTTTTGAGTGAGGAAAGAGATGAATGGCTAGAATTAGAGAAACTTAGTTTTGGGAGGTGGCAGATTATCATAAAGCTTTAGATAGTATTGAGAATCTAATGAACATTCCTGCCTCATCTTTCAGAAATGGTTTTTCATTTTTGCCTTTTTGCTCCTTGCCAGTTGTCTTCATTTGATCTAGTCTCTCACCTTTTCAGCAATAATTCACTGAACATGTATTGCGTTTGAGTAAGGCAATGCACTAAATATGAAAGTCAAAGAGGTAAATAGGTTTTTCTGTCACCCCTGTTGCTGTGTTTTCCTTTTCTTTCTTATTTTTTTCTTTTCAGTTTTGTCAATGTTCTTTCAAGCTTGTTTCTGACCTCTTAAAGGTCTTTATCTTATCTGAGAATTTTGTTCCTATCTTCCTAACTTCTTTACATCTGAAGTTTTAATCTTTGCCTGAATCTGTTAAAGATTCTATGTAAAATGCATTTTCTGTGTGTGTGTGTGTGTGTGTGTGTGTGTGTGTGTTTTGTGCGTGTGTGTGTGTGTGTGTGTGTGTGTTTTGGTTTGTTTTGTTTTTTAGTAATACCATCTTATGATTTCCCCTATTCAATTCTTTACCCCTTTTTTATTCTTATGATCACTGTGGTTTTTCTGTGAGCTTTCCAATTACCCCAAAATTTGAAACTTTGTGATGGTCTCTTTGGACCATGTGGTGAAATGCATTTATATGCTATTTTTTTTTAAGAAAGTATTCTTCCATTGTAATTTTTTAAACCTGAATAATTTTTAAAAGTTTATATTATTTTTGTCATGTAATTGACTCACAGAAGAAAGGTTAATCTGAATGATCAAAAGGTGTTAATTTGTGGATTAAAATGTGTTAAATAGTTGATATGAAGTCTGTTTAAGTCAATTAGGGAGTATAATGAAGACATTTCCAGAGTGTTATGGAATCTTTGAAGTTAGCTTGGAATTCACTGGTACATATCATAGCACCAGGCAAGGCATGTCATTGCATTTTGGTTTAAAAATGTGTGTGTATTCCAATGCATGTATATATATATATATATATATATATATATATATATATATATATATATACATATTTAAAAGAAGTTTGACTTTATTACTAAGATTATGATTTTATAGGAAATACATGATTTAGTTCATTACCAAAATGAAAAACAAAATAACAGTGCTATCTATGATAGTCTCATAATTCTTCCAAAATAAAACGCATTTGGACTATATAGCTAACAAAACATTTCTGGATTATGTTTGTTTATATGCTTATTTGTTTTTTAAACTAGATTCTTGTCATTATCATAGATTTTTAAAATACAGCACCAAGTATCTCATATAGAATGGTAGCATTAATAAGACATGTAAAATTTGATGTAGATGTTTAAAGAAATTATTTGTCTTCCTCTTTAAAAATATTATGAAACATCTTAGTGTTGGTTAATATCTGAAAAAATTTCAAAATAGTGATGTCTTATGCAGAGTTTAAGGTTATGCTTAATTTCAGTAGTTGAATATAATATTTATATCATGGTAGCATTATTTAAGATAAATGAAGCATTACAACTTCAACAGTTCAAATACGCAGAGATATGAGGGTAATTTTAAAAATATATCCTTCATTTAGCCTCAGGGTTACCACAGCACTATTTTTTACTTCTTGAGTCAGTTTACTAGTAATAAACACATTTAGCATTTCAGCTTCTTCTTGCAACCTTTCGATTTAATTATTTAGAGACTGATGAATAACAACTCTTATTGCTGAAGCTTTTTTTTTTTTTTTGTAATGATGGATTAGATGCCAAAATAACGAAACCACACAGCTTAAAAAATACAGTGAAGAATAGATCTTCTCTGATGAATTTCCACAAAAATATTATTTTGAAAATATTTAAAGCAATTCATAGTATTATTTTTTA